TTGAGGGCTGGGGTTGTGGCTCAGCCTTAGAGCGCTCACCTCGCATGTATGAGACCCTGGGTTCCATCCTCAGCACCACATAAAAATAAATAAACAAAATAAATATACTGTGTCCATGTATAACTAAAAAAAGAATTGAATGAATTTGTGTTATCAATAGACGATATCATACTGTTCAGTGATTTTAAAATGACACAAATGGCTTTGAATCAGCATGGAGAACAGTCCCCAGCATATTATTAAGTGAAAAAAGACTCTTTGCAAAACTACATGCACGTAATGAAACCATTCACCAAACAAAGGAAACAACGCCCTGGTATTTTAATGGATACATGTAATGTGCCGGTGTCTGCAAGCAAGAGGGAGATTGGGAAGGACACTCAGTACCTAGTGGCAGTGGTCACTTCTGGGAGAGTGGAGACTCAGTGTATGGTCAAGATTAAGTGTTTTGTTTTGATTATTTACAAAGAAAATGTATCTACAAATTTCTTGTAAAATTAAAAAGGTAGTCAAAAATAAGAAGAAACATATTTGCTTTTTTTTATTAGTTGCTCATGACAATACAATGATCTTGACATATCATACATTTGAATCAAATGGGGTATAATTTTCTAATGTAACTTTAGTTGCAAAACCTCTCTACTTTTTGACCTTTCTTCCCCCTGATATGTCCTGGCAACTTTAATGTTATTTTACTTAGTTTCAAAAGACAAAAGCAATACACACTCCAAGCAATCAGTGGCGGGGAGGCAGGCCACAATTGGCCCAGGCCCCACCCTTGGGATCTAGCACTGAAGGGGCAACTCCTTACCCCCTGGCTTTGCTTCTACCCCTTTGTTACATGCAAAAGTCTCCTTTATGGGCTTTTCAAAACTGAGCTGATGCTCCACCAGTCTCTCCTGTACTGTTGTTAATAGCATCCCCAGAACTTTTCTCCAATTAAGTATTTATGAACCTGTATCATCTTTTCTTAATGGCTGTCAGAGATTCTATAGTACAGATATGCATCATTTATTCAATTGCATCATTCTTAATGGACGTAGGGTTGCATCCAGATTTTTGCCATAATGCTCAATGCTGTAATAGGTGTCCTTGCAAAAAAAATGACCTATAGTCACATGTGAGTGTCTTTAAATATTTAGCAAAGATAGAATGTGCGTTTCCCACACAATAGGAGTCAGTTCTCAGAAGCGGGGACACCGGGCTGAGGGACGTGGCTCTTCATTGTAACAGACATCTTCCAGGAGGGCTAAGCACCGGGATTCCTACAAGTCTGGTACAAGGGCTTCCTCTTGCCACAGCTTCATCTTTCTGAGAAATGGAAATGGCTTTCGTTTTCATCTGAGTTTAGTGAACTTCCTGGCTGCCGGGCCTGGGCATTCTTGTCTCCTGTCTTCTAGGTGATCTGAGCTGTGAACACGGTGCTATTCCCCATAGCTCTGCTGGGAGGCTGGATCCTTCCTCTCAGCTGGTGTCACTGCTAGGCACACTGTCCTCTCTCGTGTGTCACACGTGTTCTTCTTGCTCATTACTCACAGTCTGACTTGGTGATAGTATGCTGTAGCTGAACCAGTTTTAACTTTTGATGTCATGTGTCTCAATTTCTCATTGTAATTTTAAGGACATTGATGTGCCTACTATTCACCTCAAAATTAAGCACATGTTTTTCTGTATTTCCTACTCAGTTTATTTATATCTTAAATTTTTAGTTATTCCAGGAGATAGAAATTATTTTTAAGCTCTCACATGGATGCATAATTATGTTGCCCCTACTTATGAAGTGGCTCTTCTCGTTATTGGAGTTAAGTTCCACTCAGGTGGGTACTGAGCTCTGCTTGTCCTCGGGTGTGACTGGGGCTCCGTGTTCTGCTGCACTCTCCTGCTGAAGCACTGAGCCACGTGCTTCTGAGTCTAGCAGCTATGCAGTTAGCTTCACTATTTAACGAGGCAAACTGCCCTCACTACCCTTCTTATTCCCAAGCACTTGTTCTTCCGACACTTTTTGGCCAGTTCCAAGAATGTGTCCCTGGTCATCTTGCCGTTGGCTCAGCACTGCATATCATAAAGATGATTTCAAGTGCAGGCGCTGTGCTGCTTACCTGCAAACCAAAGACAGCAATGACCTAAAGACACGCACACCCCAAAGGAAGTTCTACTGGGCACTTTCTAGATCAAGGTGACATTCCCTCCACATCCCTCTGGACATGGGAAGCACAGTGTGTCCTGAGGGGCAGGTGCTATTCAGTGCTTCCTCACAGTGGCTGTGGACTCCTTGCCACAGCCCAGGGGCCTTTTAGTTAGCCTGTCTTGCACATGGGCAGGGACGGTCCCAGAGAGGGAAGTAATGTGCCTGAGGTCACACAGCCATTCAGGAAGTAGTGAGTCTAGAGGCCATCCCAGGCCCTGGGCTCTAGCGCCCTCTGTCTTAACCAGCCCAAAGACAAATGCAGGAAAAGGAATCCTGATGGCCCAGGAACTGCAAACCCCACTGAAACCATAAGCACAGACAAAACAGTGGGGAGCAGGAGGAGACAGGATCGCTTGTGCACCAGCGAGTCAGAGATGCAGCATGCACAGAGTGGCACCCTGGCCAAAGGCCCAAGGTCCTGTCTGAAGACTAAAGAGCAGGTTGGCTTTGCTGGCCAAGCAGGAAATAAGCAGCTGTAGAAAATGAGGTGGGATCATAAGATTGACCAGACAGCAAGTTTGAAAAGGTTAACAGAAGTCATATCATCTTTTCAAATTTGCTCTCTTAGGGCTTCCAGATAAGGCACAAGAAACCCAGTTAAATTTGAATTTTCTAATTAAGGAATAAATGATGTTTAGTTTAAGTATAATTTGCACAAATTTTTATGAAATATGCCTATATTAAAAGCTTTTCTTGTTCATCTGAAAGTCAAACGTTCAAGTTAACTGAGTGTCCTGTATTTTTACTTGTTAGATCTGACAATTTTAACCTTAAATTATAGGATAAGAAACAAACTGAAACCTTGTGGTGTCTTATTCAGATACTGCAAACCAAAATGTGTTCACATCATTCCAAAGAATCAAAAATTAAGATTTCATAGTGTACATCTGGAGTTGGCAAACTTTTTCTGTGAAGGAGCAGATAGTACATGTTTTAGGTTTTGCAGTCTGTGGTTTCAGCTGCTGCTCAACTCTACCAGGTGGAGTGAAAGTGGCCGTAGGAAGTACACCAAGGGGCTGAGCTCTGTCCCATTAACATTTGAATTTAACATAATTGTTACATGCACAAAATATTACTCTATGCAGACCTTTCAAACTATTAAAGATACAAAGACCAGGCACAACTCATAAGCTGTCTTCTAATAATATCAGCCAGCCAGAGTTGACCAGTACATGTAATTCTAACTCCGCAGTGAAGAACATCTGAACCCTGGAGCATCAGGGTGAGTGAAGTAAACCAGACTCAGAAAGTCAAGAGCTATGCAGTTTCTCTCTGTGGAAGCCAGAGAGAAAGGAGGGAAAAGGGGGCGGGAAGGAATCCTGAAAATAGAGGGGAGACCATGAACAGAGCAGAGGAAGGGCAGCCGGGAGCAAGGGAGAACGAAAGGGGCTGGGTGAGGTCCATCAGGTTGTCCATGCTGGGACGTGCCACACCAAGACCCACTGCCATGCGTAACTCTACTGCACCAATAAGAAAATGATTTTTTAAAAAAACTTGAACATTGAATTCTTATGTTTCCCCAGGAACTCTTAAAATAGTCAGAATGCCCTACCTTGAATTATACATTTCCTGTTAATCTAGAAAAGTAGCGTTGGCATTTCGTTACCGAAGGCACCTAACTCATCTTTGTGGCACACCTCGACAGGTGCGGTGGAATGGGAAGACCGAGAGGACGAACCGGTCAAAAAGAAGTCTGATGGACCAGGTAACAGGCTAAAGACAGGCGTGCGCCCTGGGGAGTGTGGAAATGAGAGCTGCCCAGGAGTCACATATGGAAGGCTCCTGAAAAGTAATGCACCAGCTCTGTCTCGGGACCGCGGCTAAATAACCAGCGTCCCTCTTATCTCATCTCCACTGCAGCGGCTCCAGAAGCACCCCTGGCCTTTGTGCTGCCGGGTGGAATGCTGGGTTAGTGTCTGTTTGAAAAGTCCTCTGTGCAAGTGCCCAGGAGAGGGTTTTAGTGAACACATCCCAGTGTCCCCTGGAAGCCATCAGATTAATGGCAGGAATAGAACTGGCAATCAGTCTTTATTGTCTTGCATAATCTTTTACATTTACTTTTTAGTTGATATATAATAACTGTGCATTTTCATGGGTGCAGGGTGATAGCTAGCTACATGTCTACCTTGTGTGCTGATGGAATTTGGGTGGTAACACATCCATCGCTGCAAACATTTGTCTTTTCTTTGTGTTGGGAACATTCAAAATTCTTTTAGCTATTTTGAAATATACAGTTCTTTATTGTTTGTAGAAGCACTGAAGGAAGGAATTAAGCGACAGGTGAGCAGATGTGGGAGTGGAAAGTGCTCTAGAAGCTGGGGTCCTGTGGCCCTACAGTAAAAGGGGAAACCAGGTCCCATGGAGCCACTTGCTAGAGATGCCACAGCACCAAGGGACAGGACCCTCATCTGCTTGGGTTTTACCAAGCACGTGATTTGGAGACGTTTTCTCCAGGAAGGGTGAGAAGCAAACAGGAGAACCAAAACAGTTCCCCAACAGCTTCTCCAGGTTTGCACACAGCCCCACCCTGAGCTTCCCAGACTCCATCTGAGACTCCAGTTGGCACTAAGTGAGACTTGTAGGCAGCACCCTCACACCTTCATGGTCCTCCCCCGACACCCTCCTTTTCCAGATAACTGGATCCATGAAACCGGATATTCTGTTTTCCTGAAAGCTTTGTTTGCTAATAGTAACTGACCCATTAGATACCTATCTTGTTTTCCAGGCCCTTTCCCAAGACCTGTAGCCATATCAACTGGTTCAACCCCCTCAAAAACTCTCGTTGCCACTTAACAGATAAGGAAACTGAGGTAGAGTGAGATGCACTAACTTCTCCAGGCCTATACGACCACAAAGGGCTAGGGCTCAATAGCAAGGAGTCTGGGTCCGGAGTCTGCGCTCTGAATGCCTCTGCCCTACCACCTCGGTGGTTAAATTCAGGTAAAATTTAAACCCTAACTCTGCGTCAGTGACGGGGCGTCCCAGCGTGCATTGTTCACCTCTGAAGTGCCGCCATCTTACTTCTAACATCAGGTCCACACTGGGAGAAGAGTGAAGCAGTACAGTTCCTCTTCACCACTTCTAAGGAAATAATTGTGGTTAGGACAAAAAATAAGTCATCAGAAACATAAGGAGCTGCTCACCTGTGGGTCCTTCAACCTCCAGGGGCCCTTCCCTCTCAAATCTACACTGAGCAGCCCGAGGCTCTGTCCACACTGGTGTGGGTGACATGCTGGCTGGAGACAGTCCCTGGGAGGACAGGAAGTGGAGAGAATAGCCCAGGGGTTGATGTCCCTCGGCTGCAACGCCTTCTGTGGTGCAGTCGCTGCCTTCAGCCTCTGTGGCCACTGTTCTCCACCTGTGCATCTTGGCTCAGCCAAGCAGGCCCTCGCTATCTGTGTCAGATTGTGATGTGGGACATGGTTGCAGAGGTTCAGGGGAGGCAGAGGTGGCAGGAAACACCTTCACAGGGACCGTGAGACATCACAATTCTGCCCTGCTGTTGCTCCGGGGCTTGGCTGACATGGGCAGCCCAGGACCTTCTCTCCAGATCTTTCTCCCAACTTCTTTCCCAGACCACCAACTACCCTCCTGGGGTCCAGCCGGCACCTCCAAAACCCCATCTTTTGCTGGATAAAACTATTGAGCTCTTCTTTGTCTCCAGCTGGCCCATCTGGACTTTGTCCAGAAGCCAGGAAGTTCACAGCTAAGTTGCCTGTGATGCTTCTCCTTTTGAAAAGAGCAAATCTTTGAGAGAAGTTCTGCTTTCCTCCTAGGCCACCTGCTTTAGAAGAGGCTGTACTTTTTCTTTACAAATCCAACTCTGACTCACATTGTGGCCTTCGGAGCAGAGAGGGGTTAGTGGAGAGCAAGAATGGGTCATGGATGTCAGACCTGCCCGCAGTAGGTCGGGCTCAGCAACCCTGCAGCCACCGGCTGAGGAGACCTGGTCTACCTGAGTGAGCAGGGCAGGCAGGTCACATGGTAGCAGGCCGCACTCACTCTTCTTCTCTTGTCAGAATGTATGTTCATGGTGCACAACATGCAGTTTCCATGTACATGGTGAGGTAGTGAATGTTCCAGCAAATCAGCCTGCCACACCTCCCGTAGTGACCCTGTGTGTGTGGAAAGGGCACCTCAAGAGGGCTGCATAGCAGATTCCCAGCATACAATACGGCACCCTTAGCTGATCCTCGTGGTGCACCTCAGGGCTGTACAGTCCCTGGTCCCTCTGAGCCAGTGACCTTCCACGTTGCTTCCACCTGCAGCTGCACACACTCCTTCCCTGCACCTGCCCACCCGGTTGCTCTCTGCTTCGGTGGGTTCCACGTGTGGGTCCTGCAGCATATGCTTTTCTGCATCTGTCTTATTTTGTTTGACATAACGTCCTCAGTGTTCACTCATGTTGTCTCAGTGACAGGATTTCCTTCTTCTCTGAGGCTGATGAATATTCCAAAAGGCGAGGTCGCCACTGTGCTACCTCCTCCGCCTTCCATGATGTCAGGGAGCTCAGGCTTAACCCTCTGTGGACCTGGGCAGCTGTCCACGACCTGAGCTCAGGGGAGTCAGCTCAGCTCCCACATTGCAGCTCTCCAGCTCCCCGTTCCTGGACAAGGACAAAGACACAAGGACATGGGGAACCTCAGGGCTTCTGCTGACAGGGGATGAGTGACACCTTTGCAGAAGCCATAGTTAGCACAATGCAGTGTGAGCATGATGGAGACCCAGGGATGGCACAGACTCACTCTGTGCACTGAGCTGTCTAGTGACAGTTCTGCTGTGGTCTAACTGCAAGGCACGTGCAGTGAGAAGAATCAATGGTGAAGAACAGGAGAAAACCAGAAGGCCCTCCAAAGCCCTGGTCAGCTGGACAGACTATCAGTCCTGTGCCAATGACAGAGTCATCTTTGAATGCAGTCTCTACCTTAGTAAACCTGTTAGGGTGGGCCCTCCATAAATGAGGGTTCCTTTTCTCACGAACAACTGCAGATCAGAAAGATTCAGGAAACAACTGCATCCACACTGAACATGTACAGACATTTTTCCTTGTCCTTATTCCTAAAAAACCCAGTATGACAACTGCTTACCTGGCAATTGCATTGCATCAGATATCATGTCATCTACAGATGACTGAGAACATACAGGAGGATGTGTGCAGGCCCTTTGCAAACGCTGCACCCTTTTGACTTGAACACTGTACAATCTGTTGTCCACAGGATCCTAGAACAATCTCCTTGTTTTTTGAGGGAAAACTGCAGTTGAACCCATTTTGACTGATATTTGGTCAAACATTACAAATTCCACCCTCCTTTGGCCTTGTTTTGGCCCCTACGTGTGTAAGGCCCCACGTGGCCTCCTGGCTGTGGGCCTCCTCCATGTCACATTGAAGATCAGGGGTCCCACTGCTTCCCAGGGTGCAGGGCAGACACCAGGCCTGGCTCCAGTTAAACCCCACTGTGCCACAGGACAGCATGGTAGCCATGGGGTTCTGTTCCCTTGCAATCTTGTGTTTCTTCCTCCAGATAATATCATCAAAAGGATATTCAACATCTTGAAGTTCACCTGGGTGCTGTTCCTGGCAACGGTGGACAGCTTCACCACCTGGCTCAACTCCATCTCTAGGGAGCACATTGACATATCCACCGTCCTGAGGATCGAGAGGTGCATGCTGACCAGGGAGATCAAGAAGGTAATCCCTCTGCTTCTTCCACACTGAAAGGGCTTTCAAATTCAACACACAGGTTATGTCGCCCGATTCTAAGTGCTGGGAACCAGGAATGTTTCAGATGCCCAGTTTTTCTGGATTTGGGAACGTTGGTGTATACACAATGACATGCCGTGTGCACGGGGACCCAAGTCTACTCATGAAAGGCGTTTATATTCCATACACACCTGAAGCTCATTCCGTGCCATATCTTTGTGAGTGCACACACATTTTAATTGCAGAACACCTGAGGTCAGGTATAGAGTTTGCCTCCTGTGGCAACATGTCTGCACTCAGAGCTTCTAATTTTTGAGCATTTCAGATTTCAGACTAGTGATTCTCAATCTGTACCTAAAACTCTAAATAAGGTAAGACAAAATCCTTTCTTTCCAGGTAGTCATTACATAAATTCTTGCTTTTCTGTATTTAAATCTATTCCCTGCTCAGGATTAAAATAGTCAAACACCACATGCACCTTCAAAAATGGATCCTAAGTGGATCCAGCCTAAGGCACGGCCACAGCTTCCTGCTCTGCTGGTGTGGAACAGCAGGGAGCCTGCCCTCTGCCTCTGGCATCCAGCTCTGGACTGGGCTGGATTCCCTCACCTATAGACATGCCTATAGACTTTGCAGTGTCCTATAAAGAATTATAGTTTTAGTATGGAAAGTTTGATCCAAAACTTCTTCTAGAAAAACTATCATATTGTACAGAGAAATAAAATATACAGTAGTCATGTAGGTATGTCCATTTCTGGAAGAGTTAATAAGATTTAGCAAAGCTATGTATATATTATAGGGATTTCTTGTTTAGAATTCCTAGTACTACTGAGTGGCATGAGTGACCCTACATGAGGTGACATCAATCCCAACCTGCCTACATCACGTTAGTCCATATTCCAGGTTGACCTGTGTTCTGAGAGTCGTCTGTGCTGAGAAATGGCAGGTGGCTCATGGGCAGGTGCTTCCGTAAGAACTGAGGCCTGTCCCCTGTCTGCAGGGCAACGTCCCGACGCGGGAGAGCATCCACATGTACTATCAGAACCACATCATGAACCTGTCCAGGGAGTCAGGACTGGACACACTGGATGAGCGGCCTGGAGCAGCCCCGGGAGCCCAGACAGCCCACAGGATGGATAGCTTAGATTCCCATGACAGTATCTCCAGGTATTTCACTTTCTGAACAATGCATTCACTTTTGGCCAATGTGATGAGGTAGATGTCATCAAATATGAGAAATGAATGAATGAATGAGGTGGAAGTTAATAAAAAAATTCACATGGTATCCCAATCCCTGCTGGTGATCTCCATCCACAGAGCTATGTCAGAAGAACTGTCCTCATCTGACCACACCAGATAAAAACAGATATCAATCACAAAGGATAAGAAACACTCGTGTGTTTTATAGGAATGGTATTTCCAAGCCAGAAGTGAGCAAGATTGGTCCTTCCCAGTCCCCAAATTATGGTTTATGCCAGGGACTGCATCTCTGCTGCCTCTCAGAATGACCATTCCACAAGAGTGTCTTCTATACTGGGGTTTTCTACCTTCTGTTGCTATCCTGGATATTTCCTTTCACAGTTGTTACTTTAGGGCTTAGAATAAAAATTCCAGAAATGATCCTGGTAGCTTCCACCATCCCTGAGTGCTAGGAGTGCTTGCATTGTTCCACAGCAGGATTGGCAGGTGATCCAGGTCCAACAGTGGCTGTGCAGTACATGTCCGCCACGGGCCAGCACTGGACACTGCTCCTGGGTGGCCTCATGTTATCTTTTCAGATCCTGCAAGATGCGTGCTGATGTCATCTCTATTTTACAAGGTTCAGTTAAGGGCAGGCTGAGAGACTCACTCAGCCATGTAGCTGGAAACTTAATGATAAAGCAGACCCAGGATCCAAGCCGTGTGGTTCAGCCCCGAGCCCAGCTCTGAGCTGCAGCGCTGTGCTGTCTGCTTGCTTCTCCCTGCATCCCAGGCCAGTGTGTGACTCCTCTAGGAGCCTGGGGACTCTGCACCCAGTGTTGGGTTGCTGCTGAGGAGTGTGCCACACTGGCCCCTGAGTCCCAGCAGGAGTCTCTGTCCTAGGAGGAAAAACAGCATCACCTAGGTGATTCACTAGCCCAGCGAGTCCATCTTGTGGTCATTTCCTAGGTCAGGAACAGAACCACTGAGGACATGTGTGGATTAATTATTCTCCTTACACATGCCATAGCACCTCTTCTAGGCTGGGCTCAGTTCTGAGACACAACCATAAAGAAAGGGTCATCTCCTAAGTGGATCAACCAAGCCTAAGGCAAGGCCACAGCTTCCTGCTCTGCTGATGTGGAACAGCAGGAAGCCTGCCCTCTGCCTTTGGCATCCAGTTCTGGACTGGGCTGGCCACACTGCACCATGGTGAGGCTTGAGGCAGGGAGAAGCCCTGGTCCTTTGCAAACACTGACTGGGTTTCCAGATAAGTAGGTGCAGGGAGTGAGATGGTTGATCAATACCAAACTCAAATGGGATCCGGAAATTAAAATTGCCACCTAAGTGGGCAGAAGTGGCTAAACTATTTTTGTTGTTTTTTTAACTTGATGTGCTGTTTTGAACTTTGGCTAATTTACTGTTTTTGAGCCTCTACACCGGCCTAGTCTGCTACAGAATAATTATCTATTGATCCAGATATATGTATTGGAATGGAAAGATATATATGTGTGTGTGTGTGTGTGTGTGTGTGTGTGTGTGTGTGTGTGTGTGTTAAAAACTCAAGTGTAGAATAGTATTATGCTGAGATCTCATTTTAATGTTAAAACTATATATTCATGCATATATTGATTTAAATATAATATTTTACTGATAAAACTGCATACATATAATCCCTTCCTGTCCTCTCAAAATAGATACTGTTTCTTTTGAAGTCCTTCCAGGGATAAACAAATGAGATTGTATTTCTCCTTTAATTTGGGAATAATCTTTGATTCTTTATATGTTGCAAAGTCACAGATATTTCAGCTATTAAGTGTTCTTGTGAGAAGAAGCAACGTTAAGGACAGAAACCTCTCAAGGTTTCAAGGTCAAACTGTTTCCTAATTGAGATCCTGTCTAGGAATTTTTTAATTCCTAGGAAAAAAAAATAGTTAAGAGAAATGTGTCCCAGGATCCAGACTGTCTTGGTGCTCTTCCTTCCCGAGCACATGCACATTTCCCACCACTCGTTTCTGGACCCATTAGTAATGCCAGAGTCACCTGGGGAGAACATTGTTCAGCGCTGCCATTGGCGAGGAGGGACAAGCAGGGCCTGTGCCTTCTGGAGCTAAGACTAAAGGGGGGATTTAGTCTTAGAAAAGACATCGGAAGATGGGCTTTGCTAAGACCAAAGTCATTATTTTGTAGTTTATTGTTATTTTTTTGCAGACCAAAATAACTGTTCTATTTGGAAGCTGCCAACCTTAATTTGTTCTTATAGCAAGAAGTCTCTTTATGTCTTTAGATGGATGTCATTAAATGGATTGTTCTCTCTTTCATTCATTTTAAGCCAAAATGTAAAACCTGGCTTTACCCCATTTTCCTGGGCACTCATGGGTTCCAGTTTATCTCATGGTAGCTCTTCCATGAACAAGAAGATTGGCCGGGGTGCCACCAGGGAAGAGTGTGTGCTAAGCATGCTGAAGGCCCCGGGTTTGATCCCAGCTCTGGAACAGTAGTAAGAATAGGCCACAGGTGCAGGTGTCAGGGGGGTGGGGAAGTGAGGTCTGTGCCTGGCAAGCTGGCCACTGGCTCATGCTCCCTTCCTGGTGACAGCACCCAAAGAAGGTAAACCAGGATCCCCAAGTCCCCAAGCCCACACATTTTAGAAAACCTACTCATAACCAATGACATCTCAAATAGTTAGGATAATTATGAAGGAAATACTGAGATTCTCTAGATGTGCATTTCCCAAATGATATTACTTTCATTCATTCATTTTTTCATTCATTATTTCTCAGCACTTATAAATGCTACCACCCTCCGCTTTGTACAGTGCCCCTCTGCACGTGGGAAATGTGGATTGGGTTTGGTATTGTATTTGAAACATTGAAAACTTTATTTTCATTTTTGGAATTTCAAAACAAAAAAAAGTCACAGAAAGCTCTGATTAACTTAACTGAAAATCATGTTCATGCCCACCTGGAATTACTTCTTCCCACCTAGTGAAGAAGGTAACTGTATGCATGCAGTTCTGTGATCTGAGTATTACACCTTGCATCATTTCTTCAAGAAAACATGCTTTCCTCTGGTGTGACTTACAGTGTGGACTCATCTGCCTTTTTATTCCTTGGCCTCCCCTCTTGCCTTGTTCCGTAAGACTATTCACCCCCACCTCTAAGTTCAGCCATGAGGGGGAGATGCATGGAGTAGCTCTCTGTGCCCATCATCACATCATTACCATGACTAGCAGCATGAACCGTTTTGGGGACTTCGTGAGCCACATGATCTTCAGAAGGGGAGAATTCCCACAAATACAGATTTTTTTTCCATAAGATATTTAAGGGCTTCATAGGCTTCCTAAATCTCATACATGGGCCTAGCTGGAGAATTACTGCTTCACAACCAAATTCTGAATCAAAGAAACCAAAAAGAATACTAGAAAGCAAACTGAAAATAAATCTTCCATAAAATAATCATCCGTCATTCCTATGCATAACAATATGCAATATGCCCAATTAAGTCATTAAATATCACAAATCAAAAAACATGGGAGGAAAAAAAATAAGAAAAAGAAAGTCTGATTATAATTAAATCAAGTACACCCAAGATCACAAATATAAAACTATACAGATGATCAGATACAGTGAGTCAGGAGATATTTAAATTCATTGATTGCTGTTTAACAAACGGTATCAGAATATTTCCCAGGTTCTGAAATGGTTGATTGATACAGAATCTGCTAGAAAACCACAACCGTCCCCATTAGTTTTTAATGTACTTTGACTTTGATTTTCAGCCTAAAGAAAGGGAAGGAGAGAAAGGCCATTTTCCGGCATCAGCAGACTTGCCCTGTCACACTGTCTGAGCCACACTCCCAGTCTCTACCTCAGCAGCCTTGAAACCTGCAAACAGTAACTGGTCCACTCCACTCCAAATCCCCAGGAGGCTCTGCTGGGCAGCCAGTGACCCCCCCAGGAGGGGTCCTCCTGTGGAGACTGGTGCTCAGGCCCTGGCCTCGCCCTGTCAGTGTGGCCTTTCCACCTCCAAGGCTCCTGCTCTGATGTCCTGTTTTCAATGTGAGCACACAGTAGGTGGCCAGCGTGAAGCCTCACTGAGGAGTTCACATTTCCTTGGCTGGAACCTCATGGTTTTCTTCCAATCCACATGTAAAACCACAAGCTCGACTCTGAACAGCTGACTTGTCAGATGGGGTACCGCCCACCTTCCCAGAGCTAAAGCATTACCTTAAACCCCTGCAAGTCACGTTAATAACATTCTGACAAGCGTCCCCCACTATGCAGGGGGAAGCATCATCTGAAACCCCCCAGGAGCTTGCTGTGTGCCTGCAGGTGGAGGCCCTGCTTTGCCCTGCCCAGTGCTGTCCCATTGGGCACCAGGGATGAGTGTAGCAGTGGCCTCCACCCAGGCCCAGGCATGATCCAGAATAAAAACTAGGCAAAACGAATCATTAACAGACAAAATGGACCTGGTGTTGCTGGAACTCCTTTGTTGGTTTCTTTGTAGCGTTTGATTTTATTTTGATGTTGGTTGGTGTCCAGGTGGATATAAAGCCAACATCTCTTACACCCAAGGCGTTTAGTTTGGCTGAACTGAATGTCACTCAGAAAACAGGGTGGAAAATTCAGTTGGTTATGTCGTTCCTGAGCTTCTCTCTCTGATTTTGGAGACTGTATTTTTTAAAAAAAATTAAAATCTTCTATGCAAATTGTATGAGCAGTTATTTCTACTCATGCAATTAGATTAATCAATCCTCTCAAAGAACTCAGGATAACGATTCCAAATAAAATATATTTTCTTTGATTTTAAGAACAACTCCATTGCCAAGTTTTCATTATGTAAATTATGCTCTTTGAAAGAACTGTTGGGACTTGTCTTTGTTCCGTTTCCCTGTCCCTCCAGAGAGTGCTCCTGGGACTTCCTCGCCACCAATGTGTTTTTAACTGGGGTCTCCTGTGTTTCGTGTCTGCCAGACAGGTCCTCCCTGCCTGGGTGGTTGGTGCTGGTGTCCGTGTGGTCACTGCATGGCCGTGTGTGGGCCAGTGAGCCGGGTGGACCTGGAGCACACTGGCGTGTTAACTCTGTGTTTCTGTGACTGTTTGCGCTGCTAGCTGCTACACTGAAGCCACCATGCTGTTCTCAAGGCAGTCCACCCTTGATGATTTAGACGGACCAGACGCTGTTCCTAAAACGAGCGAGCGCGCTCGGCCTAGGCTCCGTAAAATGCTCAGCTTGGACATGTCCTCCTCGTCAGCTGACAGTGGCAGTTTAGCATCCAGGTGCTCACCTCGTGCATGCTTCCTCCCGGTCTGTCACCTCCCCCGTGCGTGGCCCCGAGTCCTCGGATGCACCTTGTCTTTCTTTTAAGAACTTGCATGTCTGACAGAGCATGGCCCCAGCCCTCAGGGGCAGCCTGGTCCCAGGACAGCTTTCCATGATGCTCACTGCTCCCTAATTTTTGTCTGTTAGGAATTTCTTAACGTTCCTGATTGCCCACATTATCTTGCATTTTTTAAGCATTTCACACTTTCCATTTCCAAAGACATAATCATATTCCCTACATTCTATTTAGAGCTTTTATATATGATCCTCATGGAGTAGGAAGAAAACATTTTTCTCATGATTAAAAAAAATGCATACAGCAGGAAAAAATATGAAAACTCTGGGATCTATGGTCATTTTAAGTTGATACAGAATAAATCTGTTTTATTTGCATAATTAACATAAAAGTCAGAATACATCTTACCATTGGCTTTGGGAAAGAATGTGATTATGCTGTAAAATATATCACCTTTGTAGATTATAATTTGTTTTATTTGGAAAAAATTACTCCTGGCTTGTTTCATCACTAAGTCCTGCCCTTAAAACAATAATCACTGAGGAATGAAATTATCTGCATGCACCCAGAACTCCTTCTTTGAAATGCCTTAAATGGTCGGCAGGGAGATCAGCCACTGTTTGTTTATCCTGAGATGAACATAACCCAGTTCAAAATGAACTTCACCCTGGCAGCTTGCGGGGCAAATCAGAGAGGCACCACCTTTTGCTGCAGCCCTGTATCTTGACACGGTGCAGCAGGGAACAGGGCCTGGCGTTGACAGCAATGCCTTCCTGCTTGGGACGTCTCTGCAGATGCAAGTTCTGCAGGCCTTCTGGTCCCTTGAGTCCTGGAGTGCCCTCAGTCCCTCGGGCCCAGACATGACCCCAGACCACTGTGCTTCCACTGGCTTACAGTCACACTGCAAGTGAGACCTGGGTGAGGGGTCAATGTCATGGCCTTCCTAGGAGGCTGTATCTAACTGAGGTAAGTCTTAGCAAAAATCCTGGTGGGCCTGACAGTCCAGGAACCTTCTACCTGATGCGGTCCTTTAGGGCCAGAGCCCTGGGGGCCTGAGCACCTGAGCAGACTTTGGGGTTCTTGGGTCACAGGATGCCAGGAAGGGCTGTGCCAGGACCATTCGTCACTCGTGGACACGTCTAAACAGATAGTCTTTGCATTTGAGCTCCTCAGCGTTGGAGGAAGCAGCCTGCCCTCGCATGGCGGTCAGTTAGGGTACGTCTCTAGAGCAGCAAGGAGCACATCCAAATATCCAGACAAGTGTGGCCCCTCTGGCAGCTGCCCTTGTTGGGGAAGGCAGTCATGGAAGGCGTGCCACTCACATGGTACGTGTGGCTGCTCTCCTTCCATTTCTAACCTCCCTGCACACCCCTACGGGGAGTTAGGGGAGAAGGATCTGAGAGGAAAGTGCAGGGCAGCAAAAGGAGGGACTGACTCTATGACTAGAGCAGCTTCTGAAAAGGAGAGGAGAGGAGGAGCTGGTAGGAGAAGGAAGCTGGGGTGCTGGAGGGAGAGCAGGAGCACGCCCTGGGCACAGCAGACGGCTGGGAGAGAGCTCACTGTGGCAAGAGAAAATGGCAGACGTCAGAACAGAAGCTCAGTGAGAAAGGGCTGTGGGCTGCAGGCTGGTGGAAGTGTAGTCGAATGAGCTACGCACTGATAAGGGAAAGGCCCAGGAGCGGGAAACGAGGAGGAAAAGCCAATATCAGAGAAGGGTGACTTTTTTTAGTTGAGCCAATATTTATCAAGTCATCGCCCTTGGATCTGGGTGGGTCCCTTTCGTAGGACTGAGTAGAACACATCTTGGTCCAAACCCACCCAACAAAACCGGCATGGCTTCTCCTCCCCACACACTCTTCTGCTCGTCTTCAAAGACGCTGACGGTAGGTGTGCCGAGCCGTCTTGATTTGGAAGTCTGCACCAGAGCTTGTGCCTCTGAGTCTCCATGCTGTTTCTGAACCTGTGCGTAGGTGGGTTTTGCTCCTAGAGGGCCGTATGACGTGCTTCTGCTTCTGAACGACATGTGTGCCCACATCCTCCTTGGCATCCAGAGACCCCTGTGCAGCGGATCAGGTGCCAGGGTCCTGGGGAAGTGAGCAGGGGGAATCAGGGAGGCGGGGTCTGAGCTGCTCACATGCCTTGATGCTTTTGCTTGGGCGTTCTGAGGTGTCTTGAGCACGTGGAGAGATCCTGGGGGGGGTGGGGTGCTCAGGCAGGGTTCTGCGCCCATCCCCTGTCTCCTGACAGTGAGCCCACGCAGTGCACCATGCTATACTCACGCCAGGGGACCACGGAAACCATAGAGGAAGTGGAGGCCGAGGCAGAGGAGGAGGTGGTAGGCCCTGTGCCCGAGCCCGAGCTCGAGCTCCAGCCTGGGGACACCCAGGAGGAGGAAGAAGAAGAGGAGGAGGAAGCTGAGTATGATCTGGGCCCCGAGGAGGCCAGCCTCACTCCCGAGGAGGAGGAATGTCCACAGTTCTCCACTGATGAGGGTGACGTGGAGGCCCCGCCCTCCTACAGCAAAGCTGTGAGCTTCGAGCACCTGTCCTTCGGCTCACAGGATGACTCTGGGGGCAAGAACCACATGATGGTCAGCCCTGATGACAGCCGCACCGACAAGCTGGAGTCCAGCATCCTGCCGCCCCTGACCCATGAGCTGACGGCCAGCGAGCTGCTGCTGAACAAGTAAGGGCAGCCCAGGCCCAGGCCAGCTCCACACCTGCTTGGCTGGGTGCGGAGGAAAGCTCTCCTAGACCCCGAGAGCCAGGGCACATGCCAGGACCCCTGCACCTTGTCCTCCACAAACACCTCCCAGAGACGTTCCCCGCTGTGGAAAGCCTACTACAGGCTGAGCATCCCTCATCAATCCAGCATGCTCTGAAATCTAGAACTTCTGAGCACTGACATGACGTGGGAAGTGCTTGATTTCATGCCATGAAACTTTGTTTCATGCACAGAAATTATTTAAAATATTGTACAAAATTACCTGCAGGCTATATGGATAAGACATTATATGACACAGAAGTAAATTTCATATTTAGAATTGGGTTCCAACTTTATAATATCTCATTTTGTATGTAGATATTCCAAAAATTTGACAAAAAAAAACCCTCAAAATCCAAACATTTCCAATCCTGAGCTTTTTAAATACAGGCTACTCAACCTATGTTAGGTTTTCTCCAAACAAACTATAGGCCCCAGGAAGCTGGGTGGGGGGCGCTGCAGGAAGGATCCTGTTCAATGAACTTAAGTGTTTTGGAGAAACTGGAGACAGATGTGAGCACGTGGTTTGTTTTAACAGGATGTTCCATGACGATGAGCTGGAAGAGTCCGAGAGGTTCTACGTGGGCCAGCCCCGGTTCCTGCTGCTCTTCTACGCCATGTACAACACTCTGGTGGCCCGCTCAGAAATGGTGTGCTACTTCGTGATCATCCTCAACCACATGGTCTCTGCCTCCATGATCACCCTCTTGCTGCCCATTCTGATCTTCCTCTGGGCCATGCTGTCGGTGCCCAGGCCCAGCCGACGGTTCTGGATGATGGCCATTGTCTACACCGAGGTAGGTCAGTGTAGACTGGTCACAACGATGGTCTGACAGTTACCTAGCACTGGCAGGGCTGCGTGTCTTTCCACTCCTCACACAAGGAAGGTGCTGGTGTCCCTCCCCTTAGCAGACGAGGAAACAGGGAGGGCAAGACTGGGCAGTGGGGCTACCGTACCCGCTGGAGAGAGCCAGGGAGGCTCTTGGAGCTGGCTCCAGACCTGTGGCATTAACCACACACACAGCAGAACCAAGCTGAGGGCCTGCTGCCGGCTCGTGCCCAGGGACACTGACCACCGCTGAGCAGCGAGGCAGAGTGGCTCTGGCTGGATGCAGCATGTGCCGCTGCCATTTTCATACCCAAAGCCAATCCCCACACACCCCTCAGAAACCTCTGAACACACGGCAGTCGGGGGGCCGAGAGGGTGAGCTGCCAGCATGCTCGCCTTCTGCGTGAGGGACAAGAGGCCGTCTGCCCCATCAGTTGTCCAATTCCCGTCCTGCCCCATCCTATAAATACAGAGGCCACAAGGAAGATGTCAGACCGCCTCGCGCCCCACGTCCTCGTGTTCTTGGGTTTGTGAAGAAGGTGGGTTTTCCTCCCTGACTCTCACTTCCAGTAGCCCCAGAACTGCTTCTTCAAGTGTGGGCAGAGCTTGGACACCTTGTAGGTTAACAAGTAATCAGCCATCAAATTAAAACAAGGTCATATGGTAAGACATCTATTTTAGTCAGCTTTTCCTTGCTGTGACCAAAAAAAAAAAAAAAAAAAAAGGCAAAAAAAATTGTGTGCTAAATTTTTATCCAGAATACTTTGTGTTTTATTCAATTTTTTGTCTCTAAAAAAAAAAAAAACTGGCAAGAACAATGTAGAGGAGGAAAAGTACCTTTGGGTTCAAGTTTCAGAGGTTCAGGTCCTGGCTGGCCGGCTGCATGGCTCTGGGCCTGAGGTGACACAGAGCTTCATGGAGGAGGGAGTGGTGGGAAGAGCAACTCAGGACAGGAGAGAGGAGGAAGAGAGAGCTCTGCTCCCCAGGGATGCAAAACATGAGCCCCAAAGGCACGTCCCCAGAGACCCACCTCCTCTAGCCACACTGCACCTGCCTGCGGTCACCATCCAGTTAATCCATGGGGGCAGTAAACCACTGTGAAGGTCACAGCTCTCGTCATCTGATCATTTTACCTCCTGACAGACTTGCCTTGTCTCACCCGTGAACTCTTGGGGGACACCTCCTATCTAACCCTAACAACGTCTCACAAGTATGCAGTTTAGAGCATTGATAACCCAAGTCCTAATTCCTTAACAATGCTGACCTAACTCCTTGACTGTGTGCCACAGCCTTGCTTCATTCTCCACACTCACCAGGCTTCTCAGGGAGGGGTCACCTCTGACCGTTCCACCCTGAGGGCGTCTGTCAGACCCCGGTCTCACCCTAGGAGCTACTTGTGGAGTGGGATTATCTGTTTTCTGTCACGCTGAGGAGTGACATGAATGGGAAATGAAGCCGACTCCCGTTCACTCCACTGTCTGAACCAGTGTCGAGCACTGAGACCCGTGCTAGGCATACGGAGGCACAGACAAGTAGAGATCAATCGTTGTGTCCTGCTTTTCAGTGACAGACACACAAGGAGGGTGAGAACCATACACCAAAGTTGCAAAATAAGCCAGACTCAGAAAGTTTTTAAATAATCATTAATAAAAAAAACTGTGTCATGTGGATTAGAAACCAAAGCAATGCATAACATGCAAAGATATAGATGTTTCTATTCAACTAGTTCCTAAGTACCAGATTTTAATATCTGAATAATTCTGTAAATATCTAACTCAGTGTAAGAGCCAGATCCTCAGACACGGAGGAGGTGAAGAATGGTTTGGGCAGCAGTGTGGGCCATCAGGTGGCCTTGCTGAATCCAGGATGGGGAGCCTCAGTGGCCGTGAGGCTGACCTGGTCACACTCCATGTGACCGTGCACACCCCTGCCACTGGAACCATGTGGGTGCCCTTCCTCTGTGTATGCCCGTCCCTGAAAGGGTCAACGTCCTGAGCCCTCTCCCCCCCTGCAGGTGGCCATCGTAGTCAAGTACTTCTTCCAGTTCGGCTTCTTCCCCTGGAACAAGAACGTGGAGCTGTACAAGGACAAGCCCTACCACCCCCCCAACATCATCGGCGTGGAGAAGAAGGAGGGCTACGTTCTGTACGACCTCATCCAGCTCCTGGCTCTCTTCTTCCATCGCTCCATTCTGAAGGTAGGCGTCCGGTCCTCGGCTGGGCTCAGCCTGCTCACAGCGGCCCCTCGGTGTTCCCGGGGACCTGGGCATCAGGGCAGTGGCAGCCCAGTCATGGGGGATGTGCCCGTGTGTCCTCCTCTGTAAGAACGAGCTGCAGTTGTGTCCACCCGTGGATGTTTCTTCCCAAGCCTGTGACGTTGGTGAGGGAAGTTGTAATGACTCTGGGAGACGTTCTCCCCACACGCCTACCCTGGGTGGGACATGTCGCAACTGGTCCCGCCGTGGGCCTGGCTTGAGTAGTGTGCTGTGTCTTAAAGCCCATACCGTACCGTAAATGTCACCCCTCATTCCAGCTGGACGTTGGAAGGCCTGGGTCTGGTCCGGGGCAGTCTTGGCCACCTCCTGCCACCACCTTGTAGCAGTGTTGCTTTTGTTGGGTGGTTTCTTGTCATAGAACGTTCCCCTTGGTGAGCGGCCACTTGACCTGGGAGGAGGGACCCCAAGTCTGGGGAGCAGCACTGGCCATGTGATCAGGTGCTGAGGAAGCTCTGGCTCCTGGTACGCCCCACAGGCAGGTGCACACCTGCTGGGCCTGCCCTAGCAGCACCTGCTCAGCCTGGCTCCCCAGCTCCTGCTGCACTCCTCGCTCCTGCTCTGCAGTCCATGAATCTGCCTGGAAGCAGAAGCCAGACTGCACATGAGGTCGCCATTGCTGATCACCCCCAGGACCAGGGGCTGTACCCAGGGGTGCTTGACCACGGAGCTACGTCCCCAGCCCTTTTTATTTTTTATTAGAAAATAAGATGCTTAGTGCCACACTAAGTTGCTGAGGCTGGCTTTAGAACTTGTAATCGTCCTGCCTCAGTCTCCCGAGCTGCTGCAATTACAGGCCTGCACCACAGCCCCAGGCTGAACCAGGTGGTTTGAGCAGAATCTTAGCAGCTTTGCTTTCACTCATCCCTGGGAACCAGGCATCTCCTCCCACCAGGCAGATTCATGGAGAGGGTGGCGACCTTCTCCAGGTGCAGACGTTTGGTGAACAAAGGCTGGTGGGGCTGAGCTGGTGACAGTGACGGTGTGTGTGTGTGTGTGTGTGTGTGTGATGCTTCAGATGCTGCTGTGAGCACAGGCGGGTTCTGGGGAGCCTTTTGCTCACGGGGAAAGTCGAGTGACTGCCATTTCGACCTGCTCACCTGCCAAGCTTCCCTGGCCACCCTCAGTGTCCGAGCCAGACCTGTGGTGGACACACAGCCGCCCCGCTCCCGGGACTCCCGCAGGTCCAGCTGGTGAGCTTTCTTGGACCCTCCTTGGTTTTCTGGTCGCGAGGCACAGGTGCTGCAGGACAGGGAGCCAGCGTCCCTCCTGCAGCTGAGACCTCAGTTGTCACTTTCCTGCTTCCTCAGTGCCATGGCCTGTGGGACGAAGACGACATCGTGGACGGTGGCGACCAGGAGGAGTCGGATGACGAGCCCTCCTTCAGCCACGGCAGGAGGGACTCCTCCGACTCTCTCAAGTCCATCAACCTGGCCGCCTCTGTGGAGTCCGTGCACGTGACCTTCCCCGAGCAGCCCACCACCATCCGGAGGAAACGCTGCGGCAGCAGCCCCCAGATCTCCCCGGGGTCCAGCTTCTCTTCCGATAGGTCCAAAAGAGGTATCTGTTGCGAGGCGGCCGGGGCTGCAGAGATCCCCCATCCTCCTCTGGTCTAGGTGGGGGTTTTTCAGGTGCTATCTACCTCATCATATGAAAAGAGGACTCTGAAATCAGACAGGCCCAAGGTCAAGTCCCCCCCTCCGCAGCCGTGTGACCTCATTGCCCAGAGCATCTGACTCCTCCCAGGAACAAGGACTTCAAATAGCACTGACCAGGGGCCAGCACTCTGCCTGATACCCAGGACGTGTCAGGCACCCGATCGTTTGTGCCTCGTACATACAGATGCCTCTGAGCATGTCCAGGTGCCAGGAGGGAGCCAGGAACCACAGCCTGTTGTGAAGTTGTATTTGTGTTCTCTCAATGGGGACTTTTAGCAACACACTCCTGGGGGAGCCAGGCCTCTGTGCCCGGGGCTCATGTCTGCAGCTCGGTGTGATGATCTGCAGAGCCTGAGCCACCTGGCAGATGGGTCATATTTGTTTTACATTTGGAGAAATTAGGATTTGAAAAAGGGTATGAGTTAGGGTTTCCATCTGGAAAAAAAACACAACCTGGGACTCTAGTTGGCACAATAACCACTGTCCGTCCAATGTGTTTCCTCCTGGGACGGAGATTAAACAGCCTCCCCAGGAAGAGCCACCACTAGGTATAAAAGCCCATGGATCTTCTTTAGCATGGAAGCAGGGGTAAGAGGGCAGGCTCCTACCTGCCCAGTTGTGTTCATGAGGCAACTGTGCATATCCCTTCCTCAGGACAGCTGGAGCCACCCCTCCTGCACATGGGCTCCGGGGCCTTCTGTGACACTCCTGTAGACAAAGCCGGTTCTTCACACTCCATTGGTGGTTTCTTTCATTCTTTGTTATCTCTAGGCAGCACCAGCACCCGGAACAGCAGCCAAAAGGGCAGCAGTGTTTTGAGTATTAAGCAAAAAAGCAAAAGGGAACTCTACATGGAGAAGCTTCAGGAGCAGCTCGTCAAAGCCAAAGCGTTCACCATCAAAAAGTGAGTACCCAAAAACAGCGGGGTGCACGTGCTTGGCTTGAGTGCAGGAGCAGTGTGCTCTCTTCCTGCAACTCAGGAAGCCCAGGAGCTGAGGAGGAACCTCTCCCACGGGATGGATGACTGTGGCCGCGCTCGAGCAGTCTTTTCAGTGAGAGTGGCTCCTTTCCATGCATGGCACTGGTACCACGCTTTTTCTATCTAGAAAGAATAAGTGGGTGACTTCAAGGGCTCATGGTGCCCACTCGCAGCCCGCAATCATACCACCCAGCCGTGCAGAGAGGGGTGTGATCTTAGGGCTGGAGGGGCAGCAGAGACACACTGCGGGGAGGTGGCTTGGTCAACACCGTTGGTGTCGAACAGCTGGTCCTCTAGACTGCACAGGTCCCTCCTGCCCACTGTGGGTGCAGGGGTTGGTGTCCACAAGCAGCCATGGCTGGAAGCGAGCAAGGGGCCAGCTGAACACAGGCCCCAAGAGCAAGAGCAGGACGCCAGCTGCACCTGCGTGTGACCTCGCACTGAAGGCAGAGCCAGGGCACAGTGCACCCAGGGCAGAACTCGGGAGACCAGCCAGAGCAAGGGCACCAGCCAGGTGGAGAGGCCTGGGCAGTGCCTGGGAGCCAGGGCAGGCACAGGGCCCTGCACTGAAGGGGCTCCTAACGTGCAGAGGTGGCAGGCCTGGCACCACCGTCGGCGTGCCCCCTGTGTTCCGGCAGCAAGCCCCACCCTGGCGCCAGGTCTGACTGTTGCACCAATTTTCAGAGCATCACGCAGCACATCCAAGTCAGTGGACAGCCACAAACCCATCCCCACTTTCCTGGGCTTCATGCCTCTCACATGCTCCAAACAGGAGAAGGTCGTGGGCCACGCAGAGAGAGCTGCCCACGCCTGGCAGAGAGCTCACTGCTCCTGTGTGGGCAGGATGCCGCCAGCCCAGGTAGCAGAGGGGACCAGCTAGAAGAGGGAGCGCAGAGGAGTGGGATGATGGTGGTCTCTGCTCCCTGTCCCTTCCGGGCCTCCTGGAACAGTGGGGTGGGGTCTCTGTTGTGCAGGACGCTGCAGATCTATGTGCCCATCCGGCAGTTCTTCTACGACCTCATCCACCCGGACTACAGCGCAGTGACCGACGTGTATGTGCTCATGTTCCTGGCCGACACCGTGGACTTCATCATCATCGTCTTTGGCTTCTGGGCCTTTGGGGTAGGTTGGGGGCAAAGGATTCTGTGTGCCACCAACTGTGAGCTGTGACTTTCCATCCTGTGAAATGCCACCTGTTGTCTTTCCCCAGAAACACTCGGCTGCTGCAGACATCACCTCTTCACTCTCGGAAGACCAGGTCCCCGGGCCGTTTTTGGTGATGGTCCTCATTCAGTTTGGAACGATGGTGGTGGACCGAGCCCTCTACCTCCGGAAGACGGTGCTGGGCAAGGTCGTTTTCCAGGTCATTCTTGTGTTTGGAATTCACTTCTGGATGTTCTTCATCCTCCCTGTCGTGACCGAGAGGTGAGATTTGGAAGCTGGCCAGGTGGCCCATCCTCCGCGACAAGGTCACCACAGCCCATGCGCTGGCCCACCAGCTACAGGCAGAGGAGGGCAGGGTAGCACCAGGGGTGTGAAAGTCATAGTTTGGAGTCTGCTAATTGTGGTGCAAGCCCCCAGTGGGAATGGGAAGCTCCACAGTATTTTGACTATACTTTATCCACATCCACAGAAGCAGGTTGCTCAGAGTAAATGTCGGCCTCAGCCATCGGGCAGGTGGGGTCCTTGTGCTGGTTTGGCTGTGCACCCTGAAGCCGAGGGGAACTGGAGCATGGTCTCGGAGCACTCCTCAGGAGGCCAGAGGGCAGGAGATGTGGTCATCAGAGGCATGAGGGAAGGAGTGGAGGCTGTTGAGCTGGTTGAAGAGCACGCTGGCCCTGGGAGGCCGATGGTGCCTGCCCACCCCACAGTGGAGAGTGAAATAGCCTGAGGCATGGAAAACACCTGGCAGAGTCTTGGCACTGGGTGGGAAGTGGGAGGGGCACTGCCCCAAGACCCTGCTGCCTAGCCCAGCTATGGCCGTGGGTGAGAATGAGGTGGGGGTCGGGTGAGGGAGGTGCCAAGCAGCCTGGTGCAAAGGGAAGGGGCTTCGGAGACGCCTGAGATAGCCACTGCCCATCCCTACACTGGCCTTCAGCCCATTGTGCTGGGCCCCGCACCTCAGTTCTGCTGTGCCCTTCTTCCCTCTGCCTCGACCCTGTCCTGCTCTCAGACTGCCGTCTAGGTGTCCCTGCCACCTTCCACCAGGGTCAGTACTTGTGACAAAGGTGGCACTTAATGCACGAGCCAAGGGGGGGCTCAGGCCATCCAGGAGAGCTACGCAGAGTGCTCCAAGCAGAATGTCAGCTGCCAGGTCCTGGAGGGCTCAGCCCACAGAGCGCCACGGGAAGGGTCCATGTAACAGGCTGCTCTTCCCCAGGAGCACCCTGGCCTCACAGATGAAAGCCAGCAGGCGCCCCCCCGCCTGGGGCCCAAGGAGCCACGTCCACCCCAGGGGCATGGCCAGCCTCTAAGGAATGCTCTCCCAGAAGGCTTGCAGCGTCAGCCACAGGGCACCGTGGAGCAGGCCTCAGGGGACAGTACCACTGTGACTGCATCTCAGGGTCCTCAGCGTGTCACCCAGGCTGGCTAATGATGCTTTTGGAAGTGGGAATAGAAGCAACGGGAAATGGCTTCACCCCTGTGGCTTCCAGTTAACCTGTGCAGCTGCTGCTGAGGTCCCCACGTTGCTCCAGCAGGGGGACTTGGTGGCTGCAAGGTGGAAGACCACAGGCTCTGGCCTGTGGTGTTCAGTGCCGTGTGAGATCTGCTGCTTTGTAACAGTGAATGGTGGCTGGGCAAATGTTTTCAAAGGAATGAGGACAGCTCTTCCTGAGCCTTAGGTAGAACTGCACAAACAGAGCATTATTACCCAGAAGACACCTCGTAGCCCTGACATCTCCAGTGTACCCCATGGAGCAGGGGCCACGCAGCTTGGTCATGAGGGTGATGCAGATTGAAGCTGGCAGTCGACTTTGTGCAGCGAGGAGAACCGTTGTGACAAGGCTGTGACTCCAACTGCTTGTCTTTAAAATGAGTAGATTTTTCTCTACAAACACATGGTCACCTCTGACTCTGAGGTCAGAGAAGTAAGCCACATCCAACACCCAAGGTGGCCCATGATGAGCTTGGACGATCTGCTGGTGTTTAAAACCGTCACACAGGCAGGGTCTTCCAAGCCTCCAGGAACTCTAAGTTCTACAGAAGAAAGAGGCTCAGTAGCTCACTCAGCCTCCCTCCTCTACAGATCCCACAGGAGGAGTGCCTCCCGGTGCCCTTCAGCTCCTGGAGACCCCAGGCCCCACCCCAGCCTCTGGGGCTGTGGCTGTGCATTGTCCACCATGGCCCCCTGCCCCATAGGATGCCCTGTCCTCCCTTCCCAGAGTGTTTGGAGCCACCCAGCCTCTCTGCATTCTGCATCTTGGAAAGGTACAATTATTCCACAACCCTAAAAGCAGACCATGGCCAGAGACTGGCTCCTGCCACCTCCCTGCCACTTCCCCTCCAGGGACACGGCTTAATGTGGCTTCCCCCTTGGCTGCTCCAGCACCGTGTCTTCATCTCCTCGGCGTGGTCCTCCTGGCTGGGCAGGATAACACAGGCTCAGGCATCAGGATGCACAGGCCTCTGGGGACCATGGTTCTATCTGCCACTCGCTCCACCAGGCTTTGAAGAGAGCACGAGAAGCCACCCTTTCCAACCAGATACAGCTGAAATACCCGCAAAATACAGGGGTGATGTAGACCCATAAAACAGTTACTCCTGCATCGTCGAACAGATGTTAAACCACACTTGGTCATGAAAAGTGGACTATCGGCCTCCTAAATCCTGTCCCCTGAACTGTGTGCAGGGTGCCCCTGCGCTGTCTTCCTCCCGCCCCTGCTCTGTGCCGCTGGCCCCTCCTCTCCTCCCTATGACTGATGGAGCAGCAGCACTGTGTCTCCGGGGCCCCTCCCTGCCTCCCTCTGCACCTGCAGGCTTTGTCATCTGTCCCTTCTGGTTATATCTTGACAACTTGTGGCCAAGCATCGCCCTCCATCTCTCCGCTCCCAGCCTCTGGTAAAGGTCCTGCAGCGGCTCTGGTGTGTCTGTAGGTGACCACCATCTGTGCAAGAGCCAGGCGGTGACATGTGAGGAAATACATTCAGGCATTGAGAGGAAGAGTTAGAAACTCAGAGGGCAAGTCCTTAGACAGAGTACATTGTTCTCTATTGAATCAGATTTAAGAATGAGATCTTATTTTCTCTGTCTGGCTCAAGTTTTTGCTTGTTACATTTTCTGAAAGTCTTGGTTCACTACACTTGGGAAATTTAAAAAGATAAAATAAACCAACTGATGGGCATGGGTGTGGTGGCACATGCCTATGATCCCAGTGGCTCCGAAGGCTGAGGCAGGAGGATCGCAAGTTCAAGGCCGGCCTCAGCAATTTAATGAAGCCTAAGCAACTAAGTGAGACTATCTCAAAACTCTTTAAAAATTAATTTAATAAAAAGATAAAACAATTGACCCTCTATCGGGGAGTGTAAGAAAGACACACCTACTTCTTCCGTGGTAGATGCTGGCCCACATCCCAGGGGACACTACGCCACGGGTCCCAAGCACCTTGCAAGGCCTGCTGGAATGCTACCCTGGAGCCTCACCCTGTGGCCACTCCTGGAAGAACTGCCCGTCTGTCTTCAGTTTCTGATATTTAACATAGGGTGTCCCAGGACCTGTGAGCCTCTGTCTTCACTGCCACCCGTCGCTAATACCGTTTCTGGACATTTTGCACTCCACCAGTATTCGGTTTCAACATCCAAAATGCGTTTTTTCTTCCTCCACACGTTGCCACTGAGCAGATACCTGGGGGAGGATGGGCGTACCCAGCCACTCTGCAGATGGCTCGGAGCTCTCTGAGGTCCCCTACCCACCCACACTGTGACCTGGCAGTCCCCCATGTGGAGTGCAGACCTAGGTCCACACAGACTCGCACGCCAGTGTCCACAGCAGCTTCCAAGATCACCAACATCAGGGAGGAGGCCAGAGGCCCAGTGGGCAGTGGGAGGGAAAGCCACCTGGCGTGCAGAGTGGGAGGACACAGCCTGACAGCCTGGCGGGCTCTCGGAGTGATCCTGCTGAAGGAAGAGGCCGGGCAGAAGGGACGTTGCCATGTGTGCCTGGACACCACGTTCAGAGAATTCCAGCCCACCAGCAGGGAGAGGGCGCAGAGCAGGGGTGGCCGCGTGTGGGTGAAGAAAGGAGAGAAGAAGGCGCACAGAAGGCCCGGAAGGCTTCAGAGGTGAGGGCACTGGGTGCCGCGGAAACCCTCTGCTGGCTGCCGAGGGGCCTCGTGCGATTGTACAGATGTGGATACCCAGTGAGCCCCATCCTTCCATCTGTGCCACTTATATCCTAACAAAGCTGTCAGAAGAAAGAAGCTCTTCCAAGTCTGAGTTTACACTCTAAGTTTCTTTTGGCGTGTGGCGTGGGAGGATCACGCTTGTGCGTGGAAACCAAGACGGGACCCGACGGGAGCCCTTTGAATCTCACCACCACCTTCCTTCCAAAGAGGAAGGAAGGCATATTTTTCTTGTTAAACATGAAGAAACTAGACTCAGAGAGAATCAGCAGCTGGTCAGGGCTCCCTCACCAGCAGGTGCAGATGCGTTGGCTGTTTGCCTTTCTGTCATCACCGTCGTCATCACCCTCCTCCCTATTGGCTTACTGTTTGGGAGGCTGGGGCTTGAACCCAGGTCGGCGCACATGCTGCACACAGGCTCTCCCACTGAACTCCATCCCCAACCCTCACGGGGGTTTATTAAACTAAGAAATAGGCTCCCCGCGGCCCAGCTGGAGGCCGTCAGGACAGATGCGTCCCATCTACAAGCCCCTCCCGAGGTCATCGAGGAGAAGAGACACCCTCCGTGTCCACTCAGTGCCTTGGAGGATGCTGGTTCCATGTTTATCACCCTCACACCCCCTAACAGCATCTCGGGAAGTCAGGACTGTGGAGGGGATTCAGGGAGTTCTGGGACACGTGGCGTTCAGCTCTCTGCGGGGAAACCCAGAGGAAGAGGGCTGAGCAGTAGCTGGCTTCCACTTTTGACAGGAAGCAAAGCCTCTCCCCAGCTTGTCCTGATTGCAACAAGTGGCCCACGAGGCCCATCAGGGACAACCACCAACCAAATGTCCTGGAGACCCCACCCTGAGGTCCTGTGGATGCGGCTGGCCAGGGCTCAGGTGCAGGCCCCCATCTCTGCCCAGCCAGAACCACGGTCCAGGAGGCCTGCCCGTGCACCCATGACCGTGTCAGGGAGGTGGGGTTAAAAAATAAAAAAATGAGGCTCACTTCTCAGAATCCTTCTCCTACATTTTCCAAATTATAGGTCTTCTTAAAACCTGGAGTTCTTTAAAAATATACATTTTTTTTCTTTCCTGAGCTCCAATTTGGCCCCTGCCAGCTGCGTGGTTCCCACTGTAAGGAAACGTCCTTAGTAGACTCACTTGGTAGTGATTTAGTTTAATTGTGACCTAAACAACTGAGCAATGCGGGTGCGAGGGTCCTTCCCTGGAAACCTTGTAAGCTATTAGGTTTTCTTACCCTACCTTTTGCCTTTGAAGTGCTCTGCTGTGTATGAAGAATTGCTTAAAGCTGCCTCTAACTGACAGAGAAATCAGGTCCTTGTTTGTTTATTTGTTACCAGGGATTGAACCCTGCGGTTCATTGAACCACTGAGCCACATCCCCGGCCCTTTTTATGTTTTATTTTGAGACAGTGTCTTGCTACGTTGCTTAGGATGCTTAGGACCTCCCTTGGTTGCTGAGGTTGACTTTGAACTTGCCATCCTCCTGCCTCAGCCTCCTGAGCGGTTGGAATTATAGGCAAGAGGTAGGGCGCCCAGCTAGGTTCTTGGTTTTTGATTTGTGTTTTCATTCTGAACGAGTGTCTTTTGTATCAGAAAATTATTTCCTCCCTTCACCTTCCCCGTGTTCACCTTCCAGGAAGTTCAGCCAGAACCTGGTGGCCCAGCTGTGGTACTTCGTGAAGTGCGTTTACTTCGGGCTGTCTGCCTACCAGATCCGCTGTGGCTACCCAACGCGCGTGCTGGGGAACTTCCTCACCAAGAGCTACAACTACGTCAACCTGTTCCTGTTCCAGGGGTGAGAGCACCACGTGGTCTGGTTGTTGGGGGGCCAGGGCTGCAGTGCAAGACCCCGAGCGTCCCAGCTGGGACGGGGGTGGAGTGCCGACTGGCCCTCGGCCTGCTGCATGGGGAGGACTGCACTCCACCTCGGGTCTCTCCCAAGGGTCCCAGGAGAGTTGTAGGCTCAGGAGCCTCTGCGTGGACTGGGGGATGCGGGCCCCACGTGGTCTCTAACAGGAGCTTCTGGCAGGTTCCGCCTCGTCCCCTTCCTGACCGAGCTGAGGGCAGTGATGGACTGGGTGTGGACAGACACCACGCTGAGCCTGTCCAGCTGGATCTGCGTGGAGGACATCTACGCCCATATCTTCATCCTCAAGTGCTGGCGAGAGTCGGAGAAGGTGAGGGCCATGTGGGCACCATGGCTGTCCTCATCCCTCAGAGAGGTGGCCTGGCTGTCCTCGTCCCTCAGAGGGGTGGCCTACAAGACCAGCTGGGGCCTGGGGGGTGTGGTGAGCCAAGGGAGGTGGGCCTGCTCATCTGGTCCCTGCCACCGCAGTCGGGTGGGCCACTTGTCAGGGATAGCACCCAGATGTCCTCGATGGCCACAGGACTTTGCAGGTCTGTTTTTAAAAGAAGAGGCGCTGGACGGCTGTAGGACCAGTCACTCCTGAATGCTCCTATGGAGCAGAGGGAGCACAGGCAGGGAAGGGTGGGGCACACGTCGGGGGCTCACGCCCACCTTCCATCCACTCTTTGGAAGGAAGGACAATTTAACTTCTTTCTGAAAAGGGAAAAGGTTGAATATCAGAAGTGCAAATATTGGCTTATTCTGCTAAATTGAGTATTAAAGTTTTAAGTATAGATAAAATTACTATTATTTTTGAATTTTTCAAAAGTTCAGGAAATGAAAAAGAAGTGCTTGCATGATAGCAATGGAAACACCCACTGATGTTAGCCAGGGGAGGAAACGTCGGTCTGTCTGATCTCAAAAATATCCTCTTAGGAAAGGTCTCCTCCAAGGTAAAGGTTTCCAGTGCAGGCTGCAGCTTCCTCTGGGGACTTCGGCTCCACTGACAGTGCTGTGTGGCCCCTGGGTTTACAGGGGGGAGGAATTGAAGGGAATGGCTCTGTGCTTAAAATCATATCAGCTTGTTCTTATTTTCAAGGAGCATAAGAATTGAGATGACAAAGTGCCTTGGTCTTTTTCCTAATGCTGAAACACAACAGCTGAGACTGGGTAATTTTATAAAGCAAAGAGGTTGGCTTTGGTTCATAGTTCTGAAGGACAGGAGGGTGCTGGCATCTGCTTGGCTTTTGGTGAGAGCTTCACACTGCTCTGTTCATGGCAGAAAATCAGAAAGGCAGGCAGGCATGTGTGGAAGAAAGGAAAGAGGGGTTGGACCCCAATAATAACTAACCCATTCCCATAAGAAAAACATTGACCCCCAGAGAGGGCAGGCCCCTGGTGTGCCCAGGTCCTCATAAACGCCCCACTAGCTCTCAGTGCTGTTAGGCTGGAGACCAAGCCTCACCACAAGGCTTTGTGAGGACACACCACATCCAAGTCATACCAGAAGGACGTGGAGGGTCAATTCCAGGTGACTTGGGGTCTGGAACCAGGACATGGGAGGAGGAGAATTACATGGTTACCAAATGGGAAAATAAGAGAGGAAAGCAGATCTTTGTGTACCCGTCAGGTTTCCATGGCTGTAACCCAGTGCCTGAGATGAATCCTTACACATAGGAAAGGTTCGTCTCCACTCACAGTTTGGGAGGTGTCAGTCCAGGACCACTGCCCTGTCGGTTGCTTTGGGCCTTTGGCAGCACAGTTTATCATGGCAGGAGCATGTGGCAGAGGAGGCCTGCTCCTGGAGGTGTCTGGAAAGTAAAAGAGAAGAGACCTGGGCCCCACGGTCCCTTCAAGGCACAGTCTAGGACCTGCGTCTCCCCACAAGTCCTGTCTCTCAGCCATTTCAACCCCTCCCTGAGCACCACCACGCTGGAGTCGAAGGCCCTCAGGGTCATTTCACGTCTGAGCTGTAGGACTTCAGCTCTGGGTGGTCATTCAGCAGATGGATGTGAAGTTGTGTTTGAGAAACCCGTGCCCGTGCAGGACAGATTCTGTGGTCCTTGTTCCTCACTGCCAACCAACTCCCTCAGCTCTTGGTGGTTCAGACACGGCAACCATTGTCCTTCTGCAGCTCAGCATTTTGGCTGGGCTCACTGGACATCTGCCTGGGGTCATTCACCCAGTGACCCAGCGGGGGCTGGAGGTCACTTAGTGGTCTCACACACGTGCTTGGAGTCAGGGTCTGGCTCTCGACACAGGACCTTTCTCTCTGATGGTACGGAGGTCCCCGGGTGGTGTCTGCAGGGACTGGTTCCAGGATCTGGGATCCGAGCTCCATGTGTCCAGCTCTTCATCTGCAGTGGCTCAGGATTTGCATGTAGCCTACAGGCCTCTCCCTGTGCGCCCAAGTCATCTCCAGGTCACACGCAGCACCTAGCCCACCCTCAGTGCTCACCAGAGCTATGCTGTGCTGTGCTGTCCAGGGAACAAGGACCACAGAATCTGTCCTGCACGGGCACGGGTTTCTCAAACACAACTTCCCAGGTTGGCTACACCCCCGGGGGAGCCCATGGCCCTCACGCTGGCTCCTGTCCAGGGCAGTGAGGGAGGTGCAGAGCCTGCTGGGCCAGGCTCAGGATGTCCCCACCCTCACTGCCATGGCATCCTGCTGCCACACAGGCTCGAAGGCAACCTAGGGTCCAGGGTATGGTTAACTGACAGGACCAGCCAAGGCCAAGGGCCTGCACACAGGACGACTGAAATGTATCTTTTTTTCTTTTGGGTGTAATCAACCAAAAAGTGAATTGCTAGCTAGATGCTGTGTGCCTGGACCTCTGCTGGGCATGGTGATGCAGGGAGGCCAGGCCAGGCCAGCCCCACAGTCAGGCTTTGACGGTCCACAGAGGCAGCACATGCAGCCCAGGCCACAGACTGGTGTATGACACTCTGTGACCAAGGTGGAGCTCCTCCAGGGCGTCATGATGGGACCTGGGGAAGGGAAGGCATCGCCACAGGTGTGAGCTCCTGCAGTGGCCTGGGGTGCCAGGTGCCAGGGAGTGTCTGCGCCTGTTTCTTTCTGCTCTTGCCTGGGCTTGTCTCCCGTCCTCCGCTGGTCCAGGGGCCTGGGGTTGGCGCTTCTCCTCTCTGGGTTCCCAGATGAGGCCTTGGCCTGCTCCCTGGCTGTCTGCAGCAGCCCTCCCCCCTCTCAGGCTGCAGGTGCCAGATTAGACCCCTCTTTCTCAGGGGTCTTCCCTAACTGCCCCCCAGTCTGGACCACAACTGGACCCACTCAGTCCTCACCACACTGAGTTGATTGCCTCTTTAGTTTTATATGAGCTCTGTGATAAGATTAGCACAACACACCCTGAAGCAAGAGCAGCTTCCTGAAGGCCAAAGGCTGGCCTGAGCACGCACAAGGCAGCCATGCCCTGCTCTATTTGCCTAGTGAGTCCCACCCGGCACCTCCCAAGACTCTGCAGGAGGCCAATCAGAAATGTAATGAAACAGGAAAGGCAGAAACACGGTCAAGAGCTGAGCCACGCAGGACAGGGAGGGCCATCCCTGTGGAAAGCAGCCACAGGACCCAACACAGATCGGAGGGTCTCTGCCCTGGCCATGCAGGAACAGCGGGAGGGGCCAGCAGGTGGAGGGGCAGGAGCAGGGCGGGGTCTTGGAACATTGGCCTTCAGCAGAGATGACATGGTCCCACTCAGGCAGGAGAGACCTAAACTGTCCCTGGCAAATAAAAGCTAAATCTCCTTTAACTCACAAAACTCTTCAGGACAGGAAGACAGAGCTGATGGACTGGGACCGGTGGTTGCTTATCCTAACTTGCCTCCCTGAGAAATCTGCTTATTACGTGCACATACCTGTGCCACATATGTGTACTATGTTTCCAACTTTCAACTTTCACATATTAACTTCTAGCTTTGCTTTCAAAATTATAAGTTAGAAATAGGAAAGAATAGGAAACTATGGTCGGCAGAATCACTGCCCACTGCCACCCTCTGAGCTCCCACGGCTGCTCTGGCACAGGATCCTTTAGGACGCTCCCTCACGTGTGCTGAGTGGTGGTCCTGCACCCCCTCCTGCTCTCAGGAGTCCAGGAGCTTGCTTCCCCCAGGGTCACCGAGCACCCAGCACTGCAGCAGGGTCCTGTGCGGGTGCCCAGCCCCTCCGGATTGCAGCCCAGAGCACAGTGCTCCCCATGGGAGGGGATCCTCTTCCCTTGACCTGTGGGAGTGGTGGATTCCTCCCAAGGGAATGTGAGCCCAGGGTAAGTCACTTGGCCAGGTGAAGGGTGAGGTGACCCCATGTCGTGTGTCACCTGTCTTGGTCTGTTTTCTGTGGCTAATAACACAGTACCACAGACTGGGTGGTTGTAAAGGGAAGAGGTGTGGGGCTCAGGATTCTGGACCGGGTTTGAGGGCTACATCTGGTGATGGCCTTGCTGGCAGAGTCCCAAGAGCGAGCAGGGCATCACGAGGCCCAAGTCAGGGAATGCGCCAGAGACCCAGCCGGAAGGGCTCTTAGGGAAGCTAACCCTAAGACAGCCCTCGCTCCCAAGGGGGTGAGTCCACACAGGGAGGCAGCACCCAGGTCACTCCAAAGGTCCCACCTCTTAGGAGCTCCTACTGGGGACTGGATTGTGACCTACTGGTCCCTAGATTCATCATATGGCTGCCTTTGAAGGGTCACGGTTGGCCCTGAGTGGCCCCAACGTGGGAGCAGGTAGAGAGCTCAGGGCAGGTTCTTTTCCATCACTACTTTTACCTCCATATCTACGTGTTGATTTAACATTTGCAACAAAAGAGTTAGGCGTATTGGCCAAATAATCTTGTTACGTCATGTGCCTGAACCAATATGAAACGTCAAATCCCATCACTGTGTGCAACACAGGCCATAGATAAAAAAACATCCAAAGAGAAAAAAAGAATTAGTTGATCTAAGTGGGAATCTCAATCTACCTGAGTATCAAGGCGCCGTGATCTCTGCAAGGTTCCCACCCCAGGAAGCAGAGACGAGCCAGGGCTGACTCCACAGTCCCCAGCTCCCGCCCTGGTCCAGGCCATCTGCCCAACCTCTGAACTCTTGTGTTGCAGAGATACCCGCAGCCCCGGGGCCAGAAGAAGAAGAAGGTGGTCAAGTACGGCATGGGCGGCATGATCATCGTCCTGCTCATCTGCATTGTGTGGTTCCCTCTGCTCTTCATGTCTCTGATCAAATCTGTCGCTGGGGTCATCAACCAGCCCCTGGATGTGTCGGTCACAATTACCCTGGGCGGGTATCAGGTAACCTGGGTCTCACCAACCACTGGAGCCATCTTTCAGGAGGACATAGAGGGGATGTCTAGTGACGTTTTGTCAGTCCAAATGTCCCCAGCACTGTGACATATACAAAATAAGGAGCAGCAGTCTGAAAGGATAGCTCTGCTGGGGTTGTGAGCAGGGGAATAATCAGGTGGCGAAGTGCTCTCTGCAGCCAGTCCCTGGGGCCGTCATGGCTGAGTCTGTGCCCAGGACGCAGGCGGGGCTGGGCAGGACTGCAAACTCTCATCTTTGTTTTCCAGCCCATCTTTACCATGAGCGCCCAACAGAGCCAGCTGAAGGTCATGGACCAGACGAAGTTTAATAAATTTATGAGAACTTTCTCTAGGGACACCGTAAGTAAATGTGCATGTGCGGGTTCTGCCAAGGCCCTCGTCCTGGGCTGCCCTGCACCTGGCCACCGCCCACAGTGGGGGAGAGGACGGCTTTTCCAGGGTTCCCTGTCATAAACAGCTGATTCCTGGCCACTGGCTACTTTGAGAATCCAGGGAGTTGTGTCTAGGCTATTGGACATGAGTGGTCATAAACACAAGTTGAATTCAGAACATGTTAATTCAAGCTCCACAGAAATTGATTCATTTTTTAAAAAAAATTGACATTTTAAATTGTGTTGTATATTGATCTTTTGACCAGTAGGTCTACCCTGGGAATCTCTCCTAAGAAAGTAATTCAGAGCACGGGGAGTTTACATAGGTGCTTGCTTAAGAATGCATCATCTGCGTTAATTGAAACTGGAAGCAATTTGAGAGCTGTGTACGCAGAGGCTCATGGAGGAAGTTACGGCAGATGTACTAAGTGAACCTGGGTCCACTCCAGTGGCCATGCTGCAAGAGGGGACTCCCACTCTTACTTTATTCATATGTTTCGTAGTCTTAAGATTTTTCAGCCAATTTCCTTTGTAATAAAACAATAATCTCTGTAATCCCAGTGGCTTGGGAGGCTGAGGCAGGAGAATTGTAAGTTCAAAGCCAGCCTCAGCAACAGCGGGGTGCTAAGCAACTCAGTGAGACCCTGTCTCTAAATAAAATACAAAATAGGACTGGGGAGGTGGCTCAGTGGTCAAATCTGCAGTATCCCCCCCCCAAAAAAAAACACAAAATAATAATCATCACAGAGACTATAAAAGGCATGATGATTTCTCAAGTTTAAACAAAAATTAAAACAAGATATAGACTCTTATCTTTCTAAACCAAAAAAGGATAAGAAATATATCCCCTACCACATAAAACAATGACCCCGTTCTGAGGACAGAGCTGTGACTGATGTCATTCTTTTCTCTGTATTCCTCACTATTAATAATACCGACAACATGATTCCCATCAACACACTTGGTTTTACAGATCGTGTGTTTAATTAAGAAAGTGGTTAGGCCAACAGATGCTTTATTCTTGTTCAGAATGGTCACTAGTCAAGCACACTATCAAAAATGACCTTGAGCCAGGCGTGGTGGCACACACCTGTGATCCCAACTACTCAGGAGGCTGAGGCAGGAGGATCCCAAGTTCAAAGCCAGCCTCAGCAACTCAGCGTGATCCTTTCTCTAAATAAAACACAGGAATAAAGGGCTGGGGTGTTGGTTAAGTGCCCCGAGCCTTTGGTACTGGTTCAGTTCCCAGTACCAAAAAAGATGATCTTAAGCAACAAGCAGCTCTCAGGTCAAGGCCAGGATGTCCTGGGGAGATCTTGTCCCTCATGAGAGGAGCACTCCCCCGTCACTGAGGAATTCCTTTCTTAGTGGAGAGAAATGCTGAATTATCTGGTTTTCATTTCCTGTTTAATTGGGAAGATCCCAGAGCTGTGTTGTGGCCGGGACACCACCCTGGGCCTGGGCCACGTGCCTGAGAGCCACCCACCCCTGAGGTCAGCAGACCCAGAGCATCAGGACTCCCTGGCCTGGGCTTTTGTGAATGTCCCTTTCCCAGGCAGGGTCCCTTCCGCGAGGCCAGCTAGAAGGAAGAGCGACCGGTTTCTCACACAGCATGGTGCACGTGACCTCTTTGTGCTTGTGCCTTTGTGGTGTACAGGGTGCTATGCAATTTCTGGAAAATTATGAAAAAGAAGACATAACAGTAGCAGAACTGGAAGGAAACTCAAATTCTTTGTGGACCATCAGCCCTCCCAGTAAGCAGAAAATGATAAGCGAACTCAAGGATCTCAGTAGTAGCTTCTCTGTTGTGTTTTCATGGAGTATCCAGAGGTAGTTACTGTGTTTCCATGCATCCTCCCTTCTGTCTGGACTCGGGTGGGCTGGGCAGGAGAGGAGCTAGAGGTGGACGGGCGCCTGGCTCTGTGTCCTTCTGTGCCACTGACCGTTCAAGAATGTCTGTGCTTCCCTTTGGTTTTGCTTGTTCTCTCCCTGACGTCAGTTTGCCAAGACAGACTGTCAGTGAGTTCTGTGAGCCAGAGGCAGGAGGAAGGAGCAAGAAAGAGAGTGATGGCCTCCAAGCTGAGACAGCCCCGGTGAACTGTCACACTGCCACCAAGGGGCACCCAGTGAACTGTTAGATTGCCACAGAGCCACCCTTGGTCTTAGCAGTGGAGAAGCCACAGCCCCTGACAGCGCGGGCAACCCTGTTTCCCCTAGCACTGGGCAGATCCTGGCAGGTCTTGTCTCCAAGATGGAGCAGCAGGCAGCCAGCCTCTGCAGCCGCTCCTGCCCTTGCACCATGCACACAAGCCACGACTTACATGCTGGTTCTGCATCCGGTGCTTTGGGGATACAGATTTGGAGACCCTGGAACAGGCCACAGGCTACCTAGAGGGGTATGTCCAGCGCAGACTGGAGTCAGACCCATGCAGGACAGTCACAGGTTTATTTGGGTCCGTGACACCACAATGCTGACAGACAAAGCAGAGGGCCTTCTAGAATCCAAAGTGACTTTGCAGGAAAGAAGTTACGAAGGTGGCTGTGCAGGATTTACAGCACTCCTTCTTTAGTCTTACTTTCTCCTTTAAAGTGTCCCCGATTTCTCACCTCCGATTCTGTAGTAATTACCAAAACTTTAATTGCTGGTCTTTGAAGAGCTATGAAAAATAACAACAAAAAAAAAATTTAAAAATAAACTTCTGGCTGGGCACAGTGGCTCATGCCTTCCCTCCCAGCGGCTTGGGAGGCAAGAGGATCACAAGTTCAAAGCCAGCCTTAGCAACTTAGCAAGGCCCTGACACTAAATTTAAAAAAGGGCTAGAGGTGTGGCTCAGTGGTTAAGTTTTTCTGGGTTCGATTCCTTGTACCAAAGAAAATTTACAAATAAACTTCTGACTGAAGAATTTTGTAAAACGTGGATCTAACACGTAGGACATTTCTTGAAACTCAGTCCTGTGTGTCAGGAGGGTCCCTCTCTAGACAGTGACTGTGCCTCCTTCCTGTGACTCTGGCTGTCCCAGGTCTCATGAACTGGGCTGTCTACAAGCTGGACAGAGGTGAGGTGGACAGAGGGGTTGGGGTGACAGATGGGGACCTAGCAAAAGCTTGATGAGCTGCCTAAACCTGAGAATCAAGTGTATGTTTAGGTCTCTCCTCCAGACTTCTGAGTAATCACGGGCACTGGGCTTTCTTTTTCTTCTTCTTCCACAGAAACATGAGTCTGGGGGCAAAAGCAGAAATAGCAACAGATAAGCTCTCTTTTCCTCTTCAGAACAGCACACGGAAGAACATAGCCAACATGATCGCTAGCAACGACCCAGAGAGCTCAAAAACCCCAGTGTAAGTGTCTCTGCCCTGTGGGTGGAGAGCTCTATCAGGGGCACGTGGCCACACAGAACATCCTGCGACAAGCTCATGCACACGGGACGGCGGCTCTCTGCTCTGGGAGTACCAGGCAGTTTCTCTTGGGAGGCCCCATTTTGACAGTTTAAAGGGCCTGAATCCCAGCC